CGGGCAAAGTATTACTGGGTTTTTAAAAATTCTCAGTAGTAGCACGGAGTCTGGAATTGTGCCCGGTATATGGCAATAGGTTCACCCCCTATTACATGGGACTCATAACATAAATAGTGAAAAGTGGGTGTTACATTGTACAGTTGTATAATGTGCACCTCTGCCTACCCCTTCGAGGATAAAAGGCGTGATTTTATGTTTATGTTACTCCCAAATATTTGTGGCTAATTGGCTAAAATAAATAGGTCAGTTAGGTTAGGTTAGACTAACATATACGAAAACTAGGCTGTTCTGAAAATATTACATACCTACATACGGGTCGAATTGAAAACCTCCTTTTTTTTAAATTGGTTAAGAAGTTCCCTATCTCAAAAAGCACGCAACCGATTTCGATAAAATTTTCAGTACCTATCCCTAAGTTTAACAATACCTAGTTAAACAAAAAAGAATCACTTAGATCGGACTTGTAGTTACGGAGATATGCGAACACAAAAAAAAACAATCAGTAGAACATAGTACCTACCTCCTCCTTTTTTTTAATTCGGTAAAAACATACATACATACAGTTTTGTTTGGCAGATTTGTTTAGACGCTGATATAGATTAACATTAATTATACGAAAATTGGGCAGTTGTGGAAATATTACATACACACGGGTCGAATTGGTAACTTCCTTATTTTTGAAGTCGGTTAAGAAAAAGGAGGTCTATCAGCGTCTGAACAAATCTGCCAAAGTTTCAAAAGTCTATGTAACTATGTATGTTTTAGGTTTGTGTTCGCATATCTTCGGAACTACAAGTTCAATCTAAGTTTTACTTTTTTATATTTTTATTTCAAGTCGGTTAAAAATACACGTACAACTTCACGCCTTATAATCTTTGAATAGCAAAGGTGCTTATATGTGTTCTTATTTGCAAGTATGTAACACTTTAGTTTCGTCAGTTACTTCTTAAGAACTAAATGACACGTCTTCAAATATTTAATTGATTATATTCTTTGTTAAAAATATGACTGTAACGGTTGTTAGTCATCGTCAACCAGTTACAGGAAATTTAACTATATCTGATGGCCCTGATTGCTTATCTATATTTTAACCGACCCGTAATATTGATTGAAAGTTACTCTTTACAATATCAAAGGTAATAATTCACTAATTAGGTTATAGAAAAGAAATATTAGGACTACGTTAAGAAACACCGATTTTGTTTAATATTAATCTCACTCGATGGTTACGTTTATGATTTTAAATAAAAGGAGGTATAGACTTTAAACTTGAAACTAAGTTCAACCAAGCTAACTTTCGATTTCAATTTATTTATAATTGAAAATTAGTATAGCACCTACGTAGTAGAAGTAGGTTACTTCTATTTGTAGATTGGTGCATAACTATTAATGTCATTTATGCCTGACATTATTATAACTTTATATAAATGTTTAGAGTCACTTCTACATGCACAATTTGAAGAACAATACTAGGACGACATTATAAGTAAACGAATGAAAGTCTATGATAGATAAATCAATTGTTTATCAACATCTTACGTCGTAATACTACGTAATAGTAACAGAACTCACCTGTCCTAGCCTTCAAGTGTGGCTGCTTCGCTAACCAGTCCTTGATACTCTGCAGGTCATCCTTCAGCCTCTTCGGATCCTCATTCAACTCCTCACGAGCCTTCTTCTCTAAAGCAGGAGTCAGCGGCCTCACAGACATTTTGCCCAGAAACGTCCTATCTCACAAAGAACTAATACAACTCTACAATGATAAAATATCGAACGTGTGATAATTGTAATGGTATTAGATTAGTTATCTTCCATTTAATCCACCTGCCAGTACTACAGTTGTTACTTCAATACCATTATCGGACTCGCAGGTCCACTTCGCCTTCGTGTAATCTATACCTTTATCATTATTTTTATATTAAGACTTGCTTGTAATAACTAAATCGTTGTTATCAATCTCGAGTTCTATCTCACTGGTTTTATCCTCACACTTCACAAAGGGTGAGGCTTTATGATCATTGTAAAGGTTTTGAGTTTCACTTTGGGCTGAAAGATTGTATCGGGGTGTCCTCTAAACGATATTCGATTAATATCATCGATACTTTATGAGTTGGTAACTCATATTTCCTTGTCTGCCGTCATGACGACTGATAGTTATCTTTTTACGTAATAATGCTTATTATACTTATTGGTGATCGTGGTTGTTAATACACAAAATATCACTTTCAATATCATTTCGTGCAGCTACATGAATAGATAATATGAAGTGGTGATAGTCCAAATGTCCTCTATTGATTCATAAATAACACGGCTAGTCACGGGCCACACGCGGATTTTATTAGAAAATATTTTATTACCTGATGAAAAATCAATGTACTAACTGCTAAGAATAGTTGAATCTATGAAATTATTATAGTTCTTATTGGAAACCTTTACATTTCTAGGTTACAGCTGGGTAATCCTAATAATGTAACAACCAATCAAGATTATTTCTGAAAAAACTGGCCTGAAGCTCTTACAGTACCTACGTAACTCAGTTTTTATCACTTTTATACTTTACCCGATCTGGGGATCGCACTAGACTCTTTGCTAAGTAGTTTGACATCACTCAACCTTTTTTTTTTGTTGACGAGGGGAAACCTTCAAAAGTTGTCTAACTTTTTGGGGGAAAAAGACTAGGGAGTGTGAAATTTTTACCTGATTAAAACCTCCCCGATAGCCACCATCCCCACCTGAAGGAGGCACCGGGTCCTCTTAGTAGGCCAGCCCCGGAGCCACCTTTTACAGCACCTCCCTATGGAGACCTATGTGTCTACCTAGAGTTGAGTTCACTCAACCATGGTATATGATATAATACTTTTGGCTATTGGAATCACAATCATCGAAGGAGTTACTAGCTGGATGTAGCCACTAAGTACGATTATTATGTATGAATATGATAGAACCAACGACCTCTGCTACTCTTCTCGTAAAATTCAACAAAGGGATAGTCGAATAACACTTGAGAGACCGGAATGCAGTGCACTCTGATGAACCTGAACCTCTTTAACTACAATCGCCACCCAGCAGAATGGAGATTATAGCAAATCCTCTTACTACCCAGAGGAGTCCAGCATAGCAGGCATTATAGGTTGTTGATGACAGGAATTTAAAAAGTTCATAAGGATTTCAGTAGAGATGTACGAATGCTATCTACACATCAGCCAGAAGACGTCTACTGAACATAGGCCTCAATGACTTTCAGATAGGCCAAATGTTTCTGGCAAATGAGACCAAAGGCATGAGTTTATGTATATTTAGTATATACTATAGGCAGTACATAAGGTACACAGTATAAGACGACGTAGACATCTCAAGATATCAATTTGATAAGATTAGCGTTCTTGTCACCTGCGCCTAGATGATAGATCGACTACCTATTGTAAATAGAACTGCTTTATGTTGTTTAAACAGTATGTACTCATACCACTTGATTCGTTTTGCAATAAAACTCAATGTAGATGTGGAGCAAGTCTTAGAACATATTTATTGTTAAGATACAAACACACGTTATGCCAGTTATCTTGTTGTGAGTTTTAAATAGTATTGCTAAATTTTTATAATAACTGTCGTGAGACATACTAAATTAATTTAAAAAATTGCGGGTTACTCACGTCGCGAGTTCTTCCTCATCTCATGAGCATGAGCAGCGTGCGCGGTCGCGGTGACGTCACGCAGTGTTATTGATGTTGTTACACGCAAGTAACAACACCAGCGCAAGCGCCAACGTTAGACAGTAGGCTGCGCGACATCGCCTTTAGGTTCGATTTTTAGTTAATTTAGTTTTGCTAAACATTACCAGTATTGCACATATATATAGATAGGATAGAAAGAAACCTATCTTGAGGATTGTGGGTAGTTGCCATGGCAAAAGGTTTACAAAAACTTGACTGTACGGTTGGCGCGCTGGGCAACTGCGTCCGCGTTCGGGCGGGTCCGATTCCGCACAGAACAACTCTTTGTTTGATCCACAGACTGTTCGGGTCTGGGTGTTATCTGTATGTGAACTTGTATGTTTGTAAACGCACCCACAACACAGGAAAAAATCCTAGTGTGAGGCAATTTTTAAAAAAAACACGCAAGGTGGAATAACTAGACATCTGGCAGAAATTGAATAGGAGCATGCTACTGTCTACTCTATAATTTAAAATAGGCGTGATGTCATTCTATAAAGCTCTTTGCACAATATGCAGCTCATTTCTATTTCGTTAGAGATTCAGTTTGTTTTTCATTTCAATTATTAATAGTTTCTATTTCGGAGAGAGTTTGTTGGCTCGCTACAGATAGTAAAGCAATAATCAAGATCCCGACAATGTTTACACGTGATCATTTTTTATGTCTCTCGGTAGACTTTGTGTTTACACTCAGTCATTCAGGAATCATCGCATTGTAAACAAATTTTTAATTGTTATAAAATATATGTAACCTTATACTATTTCCCGGTAAATACTTTTTGTTTTAGTGACGATTATATCTCGGTTTTAGGCTAGTTTTTGAGATACCCTTTCCATGATTGCTCTTTACCACTAGGTACTTGATAATAAAACATATTCTAAATTGATGAAGATATGGCCTATCTGTTCACTAAATACTCAGTAATTTTTCGTTAAAGATTCACAAACGGTGACACAATAAAAAACTATTGAAATCAAACACACATATGTTTAGACAACACATTTATTTTTGTGTATTTACAATTATACATGTTATCTACAACCCTGTTACATAAATATATTTTTAAATATAATTTACTATCCAGATCCAAGTATGGTAAAACGATTTGTTCCACTTTTGATACAAATGATGAATCTTATTTCTAAGTGCAGTTATTTAGAAACTAGTAACTCATTTTATAGATGGCGGTGTAGTCGCATTGTGGTCAATAACTATTGTAACCGCAATTTCTTATAATCTGTGTTGGTTGTTCCCAGTCCGTTATAGTAAGTAAGATGACTCTGTTATCAACTTTATTCTAAGGTCAAAAGCCTCCAATTTCCCTCGTCCCCCACGATTGGATCTGGTGAGTAACATTTCCATAACTTGTAATTACTGGCTGCATTGATTCTATGACACAATTGTTTCACAGTGAACAAACGTCAATAATTTATCTTTGTCAAGACTAAAAAGATCACAGAAAATACTGTATGGCCTGATATTACAGTAACGTGACAATAGTAGATAATTTAATACTACAAGTGACATTTCATGCTTTTGTTTTCCTTTATAATGTAAATATTATGTGAGATCTTCTTTAGTAGCATTTAAGCAAAAAAGGAATTAAGCAAATTGTCAGATTTCACTTATAAATAACGCATAAATCGATTAATTACATTATTAATAAAAAGGTTTCAAACCTCACTCCTAGATGGCGCTACAAGACTCGTTTACAAACAATGTACTCGAGAAAAATATCGAATATTCAAATAATAATGACGTTATATTTATTTCTAAACAATAAAGTTAAGGGGAAATACTATGACATACAAAATCACAAACACTTTTTGCCAATAATGGCGACTTAATTTAATTCCTAACACTAACATTTGAACTAGAAAGCATTGGAAATGTAATGCATATACTTACAAATAAATATTTACATTTTACTAATTAAGCCTCTATGTAGACTTACTGAGGCATGTACATTACATGGGTACAGGTGTACATACACGAGAACTAGAGAAAGGATGAAAATGTGCCTTACGGCCTGTGTCACAATGTCTAATTTAGTAAATACTAACAAAATGTGTGCCTGTTAAAGTTAACGGCAACAATCAGACATTATGAAACAAGTCCTTATTACAATGATTCAATAGATACGTAGACTCCACGAACTACTTACACAAGTCGTCCCCCATAAATGCGCACACAGGAAATATTTAACGATATCGGACTGACCAAAGCCAAATCATGTATACAGAATACGATATATGATTTAGAAATTATAGGAAGCAAGTCAATTTGCCTATGAAATAGAGAAAACTACATAAACATGTTTTATAAATTAGAAATGAACAGACATCAATCATTTTGCTTGTCTCCATATACCTAGGTATAATTCCTGAATAGGTACTAAGTTACTGTTAAATTAATGTCTTCAATATTAACTAAACATTATGGTCGATCTATCTGCTGCTCCAATTTTCGGTTTACCATTGAAAAGTAGTGCATGACTCAACACCGGAATGATTCTTCACCGTGATTTACTACTCGTTTAGTCTCCTCATTTTGTTATTAATCCCTTGCCTACAGTCAGGAATTTTTAGACCACTTGGCTCCAGCCAGTCGTCGGCTTTACACAATTATACAATCAAATAGGTTATTCATAATACATATTCACTCTACTCTACTCAAATACGGACGGTTTCCTATCGACTCTGCAAACACAACGCCGCTCTTGGCCTCATTAACTAACAACGATATCTACACTTAACTTAAGATGTTAAATATAATATGAAAAATTACTTTTCTAAGCAGTTTCATAAATATTACTAGGCCTGGTCTCCTCGCATTTATCGCGATATTTACCTATAAATTAACCCACCGACGACGTACATTTGGGCCATCAAAAGTTGGCGAACAGTTTGAGTTCGTCGGAGTCTAATGAGCGCACGGCCTTCCAGTCTGTCTCGGGGTACTCGTCGAAGTTGGAGGTGTCGCCCTCGTACGACACAGCCGGGATTATGGGAGGCTGTAGACAATACAACACACAGTTAAATAACTATAAAAACAATAATGAGCCGCTTTAATTAGCACTGTTTTCTGCATAATATCTTTAATGGACCATAAATAAGCATTTAAGCAGTAGGTATTAACGTAAAGTATTGAAATTAGGTAACGTAAACTTCGTGAATCTCTGTCGGCCTCTCGACCTAATTTAAATCAGTTCTTAAATCTTGCTTCGATATATTGTTATGGTATTACGTATAATGAACTGTTAAATAATACTTATAATCGTATTTAACTAGTTGGCAATATCTAGACTTTATAGATCCGATATGGATCTGTCGGTATCGTGGGAACATAAACAAAGTATGCATTAACAGTTAATACCTGAAGTTTCTTCATGAAGACGTCAGCCCAATCTATGTGTTTGAACCATCTGTGCCGCTTGACGTCTTCGGTTCCACACTGAAAGGAAACAAACATTACAATATTAAGAACAAATATACAAAGATCACTGAACAAGTCAACGACTGAATTACAGAAATGTACACAATAAGTATCACTGAAATATCAATCAATCATGGCAGCGATATTGACTACGACCATAATGCGCATTTGTGGGTGGCCAGAATTAGAGCAACTTTGTTATTATTGGCGTTCGCGACGTTCTTCAACGGTTAGACATCGTAAATTTTCAGATTTAGAGTTAGCGGAGAATATCGCAGCTTAATTTATTATTGTACGACGATGCCAAGCGGGCCACTCGTTTCAATATAATCCTAGTCCAACGGGAATTGTCCCATAACTTCTCTAAACCACCGACATTCTCATTGTATTACTGCAAAGTAATATCGTATATTGATGGAAAGCTCCCACTTTCCACTACTTTCATATTACGTAGCTATTGTAATGAGTGTTATTACTGTTTCAGTAGACGCTGTACTGCTATTATTGGTGCTGTTGCCGGGCAACGATATTATAAATCAAAGACATTCGCGTTTGTCTGTCTTGACGTTTCCTGAACACACGATAATACTAAAATTCTATTACTGACATTGCGCTACAAACGTGCTAGCTTATAGAATACTTATACTGGCAAACGTTACTGGACATTACACCAAAATTAACAACATTGTATGAAAAATGCATTATACGCCGTGATAATTTGTTATGTAAAACGTGAAAACAGAGTATGAGACAAAATTTCCACAATATTTGCGTATGAAAACCGACAGAGTTTGCGCGAGTCATAACAGCTAACAAGGCACCCAGTTTTCTAACGCATCGGGAGTACATCGGCGATGTGTCGTATTTGCGTCGCGACATAAGTCAGCGGCGACGCGCGGCTTTTGAAGTGACCGGCAGACACCTGACTGATGGCTTTCTAAACATCTCGGCGACATCGCGGCAAAAAGCTCGGTGAAAACAACCAACCACTAACTGCAATCGTTTAAAAATACATTCTCACCGTGATAGTGCGACACTTTATTGGGAACGTCGCATCCCGATTTCTAGCTTTAGCCATGACCACATAGGCTCGCCCGACCAAGGGATATTTATAACGTAGCCAAGTGTACAATAAAGATAATAACATACGACTTTCTATCTGACAGTCTGCACACTACCGGATAGCTTTGTCTAGCGTATAGTGTAGGTACTTTGTGTAGCTTCATACTATCATTATGTAGTTACCCGTGACGTCCAGATCAATCGGAGCAATTACTTTATTATATTATACAGATTGCTGGGTAAGCTTAGAACATCGGTTTATTAGGCAGTACATACATTGTTATTACATAAATTCAATGGCAAGCAATCAATATGATCTATTTAGAAATCAATTTAGTAAAATTGGCTTGTTGAAATTGACTGGGCAATATGTAATTTATTTCTCTTATGTTTATTAAATTGCTTAAGTAATGAATTCAGATTTTCTTTTTCAAAGCTAACCTAAGCATTCAGTAGTACATTCCCAAATTTTATATTAGGAGGCGTTTACAGTGGTAACCAATAGCAACTGATCTGAACTGACTGAGATCACAGTCAGTTGTGGAAAACATATCATCACCTACATCTAAACAGTCGGGTAAATTAAAAATCCTTTGAATTTAATGTATCAAGACTTAGATTAAGCGATAAATATGGAAGGAGGTTGGCCGAACTCCAACCTCAAAGTGACATAAATTTTCTTTTTGGACAGAATCCACTCAATTTGAAGAGCATCGAAGAAAAGAATTTTAAAAGAAGAATACCGACATGCTATTTTGAATTGTGAAAATTGTGTTTTATTAATTAAAGTCCATTTTCGTTTACAGGAGATGTTGGCGATATTCGAGGATCTTATTATGTTGTGTTGTCTGAGTTAAAACAATAAACGTGTGGCCCACGCGATGCTATGTTTGACATGTGGTGTGGTGAGTCGTATATAATCCAAAACTGTTGCCGAAACAGGTCAAGCGCAAGGCTAAAGTATTTTCAGTTTGCGTAAGCGTAAAACACAACCGAACCGTGTCTTCATAACAGAGCAGAAACTGCAGTATATACTCGGATGTATTTATTCCTTCAATAATGAAGAATAAGTGTCTACAGTATGTACGCGGTGACAGAAATGAATAAATAACTAAATCAATAAAAAGAGAAATTAATGGAAGTAAAGGTTGAACGCATCAGTATAGAAAGCATATGTTTAATGGATATTACTTCCTTTTAATATATACATTGAAATACCTTAGAGGCACTGTTTAATTTTACTTTTCCATAATTTTATGAGTATCTACTCTTCCTTCACATTCTATAACTACGGGACATCCTATATTTATAACGTGTAGCTACATGTCCATATAATTTCATATCGAATTTACAGCTCAAAGTTAGTTGCGTTGCTACCTAAGCGTCGTTATTTTAATCCTTAGTATAAAATGAATTAAATATAACGAAATCGCTTCCACTATTATAACGAAATCGTAAATCTTAGGTAATTTTGAAAGAAAATGCAAGTATTTCAATTTGGCAAGTAAACAAAACATTGTAAGTGGTAATTAATTTTGAGTAACGTAGGCCCACGTGCGCGGGCGCGTGACACAAGTTGTAGCACATAATATACAAGCAATAAAACTGCTTTCAATGAAAAATCTAAATAAAACAGTGCATTTGGAGATTTTCCTCGAGCGAAAACTTTTTAAAAGAATACTTATTAGAAGATTAAACTGTTTTTCTAATAAAACTTATATTCGATGCAGCTGTTATTGTTATGCAACGGCTTTTACATTTACTCGCAAACATTTTACAAATCCAGGGCTGTCAAGAACAGAGAACCACCTTAAAAGATAGGAAGCTAAATAATTTTTAACGTGGCTAATGTATCACTCAATCTCCCTTAAATAGCTGAGCACACTATGATGAAATTTAGCAAACAGTTACTCTATGTTTTAGGCTATAACATAGAACTTTGATCTTGAACTTGTGGGTCAAAACCGGTGGGAAATGAGTTAAAAAATAAGACAGGATTTGTATATTTACCTTCATATTTCCCAGCCTCTTGGTCCTGTCTTGTACGAGTAGTTTCTTGATGATGTCTTTGGCGACAGGGTCCAGGTGCCGAGGCCACTCCACACGACCATTCAGGATCTTCTCGTATATACCGAATGGATTGTCATCATAAAACGGTGGGTACCCTACTAACATTTCGTAGATCAGCACGCCTGAAAATACAATCAAATAAACTTTAAAATAATGTCACGCAAATACGTACATAACATCACCCCTTTTATCCCCGAAGGGGTAGGCAGAGGTGTACATTACGGCACTTAATGCCACTGTACAATGTAACACCCACTTTTCACTATTTATGTTATTAGTCCCATGTAATAGGGGGTGAGCCTATTGCCATATACCGGGCACAATTCCAGACTCCGTGCTACTATTGAGATTTTTTGAAAAAGCCAGTAATACTTTGCCCGACCCGGGAATCGAACACGAAATCCCTTGCCGCAGTCGCAATTGCGACCAATCGGCCAACGATGTAATCACTCAAATAATTTTTTTTTTTTTTTTTCCTATTCCTAGATACTATCTATTTCCTATATGGATAATATAAAAGTAAAAGTTTGTGCATTCGCATTTCATGTTAATACTGAACTACAATAATAAATTAAGGTTCGAAATAAAAGACGAACTCCTTTTTATCCGCTAGCAATAGCTAACTATGCTATTAATAATGTAGTAATAATAATAATATGAACATTATAATTAGGTCCCATTTTAAACTGATATTTATACTTCCGAAATTAATTATAACGATGTGCGATAGTCGTAAAATCAATTCTCAAACACAGATTAATGTCAAGGTTAATTAATGGGTAATTTAATTATACAGTCATGGCATTCATTACTTATTTAGGATATGTTTGCCAAAGCTATTTGGTTGTCAATTTCGCGTAACAATATCTGTCCTTATATCAGCTAATTATTATTTGTTTGTTTTGATTATAAACTTATATCTAAAACTATCAGTATCAATTAGAAAAGTTGTTTCGCATTTTATTATCCCGTGTTTTTGTATTTCTGAAGAGGCTTTGTACCTATATTGTACAGATGTATACTAGATGTACCTATGTATACCTACAACATAAGATCACGCTACGAATTTTAGAAAACACAGCACTCAGGTGAAACCGCAGTCACTATCTAATAAAATTAGCAATTAATAAAGCAAATTACGGCATAAATGCCGTAATGGACAATTAATAATATTTAACAAGACATATGTCGCAGAAAATATGAAATTTTGTACTAGAAACTAAACGACTTCAGTAATTAGCGTTGAAAATATTAGCACTTACATTAAAATAGAAGACGTACAATGAGTGAACTAATTTCATTCTTGCAGCGATATGTTTAGACTACAGTAACTTGATATTGGAAAATTGTGGGAGCACTCGCAAGGGGGAGAGTATATTTAGTATTATTGTTATAATGTAATGGCGTATGATGCCAAGCACGGGAGCGACGAGATACAAGCAACGTGTGCCATTATAAATAACGAAGTACATAGTACATAAATTGGCAAGGATCGAGCGGTATACCCAAATGAAAGGCATCTGTAAATCAATGGAATACTAAATAATAGTGTACTCGTAAACATTACACTGCAAGCATTGTATGTTCGGACTGCTTATAAAATAAATAAACAAATAATAACAATATGTCGAGAGACACTTTATGAGACGCAAAACAAGATCGAAGAGATCATACAAATAAATTTAAAGCTCACTACCTGCCAGCGTACACTCGCATATAAATGAAATGCTCGATAAATTACATTAGACCCATCAATGTCAATTAGAGACAAATATTAAACTTAATTATTTAAATTATGAGCCCTAAGATTAATTCTTCAGCTTCCGTGTCATCTTTCTCAAACAAAATTATACACTGCACACAAGTCACTTGTCTTTTAATTAAAGACATTGTTAAAGATTGTGACTTTCCAAAATACGGTAGTGAGACAATGGAAGATAAAATTCGTATCACGACAAGTCCGTGAGAGTTATCTATTAACATATTTATTCAGTAAACTGTATTAAAAATGTTCTTGGCAATTATAAATTCAAAATTGTAGCACAGTTGGAACATAAATATTGTTATTAATAAGTAATAAAGGTTTTCCTCGAACACAAAGAGTTTGATAGCGTGACTGGGGCCCGTTTTTGCATCATGTTACCGCAATGACATTTATGACGAACTATACTAAGTATATTTGTTTACAGAAAGGCAATTCTGTTGGGAAATGTAATGATTTCCGTGATTCACAAAAAATAATAGCGTTATTAGGGTAAAAAAGGGTCTGCATGTACTCACCCAAGGCCCACCAATCGACGGCTTTGTTGTGTCCTTTGCTCTGTATGATTTCTGGCGCTAGATACTCGGGCGTACCGCACAGGGTCCAAGTTCTATCTGTTAATTTCTTCGCAAAACCAAAATCTGTTATCTTCAAATGTCCATCTCTGGCAAGAAGTAGGTTTTCTGGTTTCAAGTCTCGATAAACTATATTCCTGGCATGGAGATATTCCAGGGCTGACACGATTTCCGACGCATAGAAGTTTCCTGCGAACATAACGTTTTAAAATGCATCGATTTTTTTATGACTTCGACCTATAAAGTTGGTCAGGACGACCTCATTTTGTGATGATACTATAAAGCTGGTTCAACAATTAACATTCAGCTTTGTATTTATGGGAACAATAACTATAAGAATTTATTTGTGGAACTTGAAGAAAATGTTATCAATGTAAGAAGAAAACAGCGTGCCTTACTTTCCCGCGCAAGCGGCCGAGGGAAAACAATAATTACTTGACCGCATTTACACAAGACTATTGGCTTTAGACAGAAGCACATTATTGCAAGTATAGCTTCTATGCCAGTAAGTGTTTATACACAACAACATTGTCTAAAGTAAACATGCTAAGTCTAAAACCTCATTCTACATTTTAATTAATGTATTCACATATTACTTGCGTCAATCACTTCGTTTGAATATATTTTTATATCTAACGTACTTTCACCGATCTCAACTCAAATGATTCAGTATTTTTCCGTGTATTAAGATGTTGTTGAAATTCGAACTAACAATGGCTTCAACAATTGTTTTCTATTGTTTACAACATTTACGTTAAACGTTTAATAGTACCGTTTTATTGGCTAATTAAATTCTTGTTTTATATCTTTAGCGCCTATCAATTGCATTTTAAAATTTGTTATTTTATGTTTTACTGTCTGTCCAGAAATAAAACACGTTGGGAATGTAAAATACATAAAGATGCGAAAATACTAAATCAATCTTACTCTCACGTTTCGTTACTAACGTAGATGATAACTTACAGGTTTTTCTAAAAAACAGCAAGTATATTTATATGTGTTGTTCGAAAAAAAAATCTATTAGGTATTTACCTAATAATTTTTTTCTTTAAAATGATTACTATTTTCGTAGTGATTTTCCATTCTCCAAAATGATCATTCTTATCTATAGTAGACACAAAATACATAATATTATTTTGTCGAATATATACTTTAAAAAATAGTGATAAATAGACATAAATGACCGGAATCTGCATAACATGGGAATAAAGATGAAATTAGACAACAACATTTCTTCCTTTGGTAACTAAAAAGTGTTAAAAAAAAAGAAGTTAAACAGTTTTCAAAGATCGTTCACTGCTCTAGAACAGTGAAACAGGACTTTAAAAATATAATACTGAATGTAAAATCATATCTACTAATTAAAATAAGATTTTTTTAACTTAAATTTACATTTTATCTGCATTTTGCACTTTTTATCCACTTTCGCCAGATAGTGAATGTAGAAATGCAAATTCTTAGAACGTACGATTCCTAAGCTATATGTATTGATACGTAACAGTAAATAAACATGTTAAATTGTATCCAGGATTAGCCAAATCACGTTTATTTTTATCATGGGTAAAGTCAATGCCAGCTGGAAGAGGCGCGTCGTCACTCCCGGCTTGTATAACGTGTGGGGGGAAACTCGCGTGCAACATACGACTACACTCATTATTTACAATACTAGCTTTTCTTCGGAAAGTTTTTTCTCTTGCTGTCTAACCTATTTCTCCTTTTTAAATCTTATCATTCTCAAGAACATTATTAATTGTGCGTTATCGGCTAACGATTATCTTAGTAGTCTTATTAGATTTTGTATAATTTTATCTTATCAGGTTATTCCAGAAGAATACTTGAGTTGATTCCATAAGTCGATCTGGTGCCAAACACCACGTTTCTAAATCCAACAGTTTCGACTTCAGATTTAATCTGTCAGTGAAGAAAATTGAAGCTTGTAAAGCTCGAGAGATTTTTGTAAGCAAAAAATCTTAATTTTTTTGTTCATTGCACACTTCTCTCAGATTGGCAAGCTATACAAAACAAGATTAACTAATCAAATTTGTTAATAACGCTATAAAAATAACATCTAATATTATCGAAGCCAGTGAACACCTACGTCTTGAAACCTATCAAATATTGTACGACTTTTTATGATGTTTGAACAATGAGTATATGATTGCCGTGAACTTTTATTTCTGCTGCGATCTTTGAAGTTCAAAATCTACGTAATTTATGAGATCGCTGACCACTGTGGGCGACGGGGTCCCACGCGGAAGCCAAACTGTGTCTCTGACATGACATCACACCATGACTAACTCCAAACACTCATCTAATAAACCCATTAACCCGAAGTCAGTATAATCTCAACAAAAACGAGTGTTCCACATTTTTAAACAAATAAATGTTCAATTTGCCTCTCGTAAACGTTGACTAAATCAGAGCAAGCGTCACTTAGACAGGTCGCCTCAAATTATTGAGTGAAAAGTATACTTTTCTTTGAAATGCAATTTAGTTCACAGATGTATCTTGCTGGCACGTTTCTTGTATCATCAGCACTGTCTCGTTTGTTTTTATAACTTTCTTTCTTTTCAGTAATTCTTTTATCTGCAAACCTTTTAAAAGATACACTTTATCCATATTACGCGATGTCAGTACGTTTTCAAGTGCACTCAATGCATCTATCTGCTGACACTCATGAATCTTATCCTGTCAGATCGATATCTTTTGAGAGTTTATTTATAACTTTAGCACCGTTTTCTAAATTATCAGGGATTTTCAACAAGACTGATCGTTATGTTTAATACTTTTCAAATAAAACATTGCAAGGCTATAAAAAGTATCTAATTAATTTTACTGCGCACACAACTAAGCGTACTTAGGTACTTATAAGAGTTTATGTATGTGTAAAGCGCAGGAACGGGAGCGCAGGCGCACGGCGGCGGGCGCGGGCGTCGAGATGTCTGGCTCAGTAAGCAATCGCCAAATGGCGCGGACATTTTTATTGTCAGCCCGCTGTATCCCATCGGCATCGCTATAAAACGACAGTCGTGAAAAATGGACGGAGCCACCTTCAAGGCACACGGCACCCAAGACATAGTATTATTATTTAATCTACGACCGAAGCCCGACAGTTACTCGCTCACTCCTCGCGTCACTGAACCCACATGAGCCCCTATTTCTGTCTTGTCTTTTCTCCAGAAATACGAGGCGGTCGTTTGCCGTGTATTTTTTCTGTGTTTTTGCAATTCTTTTTCACTACTATACGCGATAAACATCTATTTACTTTATCAGTGTGTGCGACTCATTACGTCAATTTAAAAAAAAAGCTTAAAAACAAAGTAATTAAGAATAGATGTTTTATGCTTTGCATAAAAGAATGGTCTCGCGATTGACTAATCACAAATGTAAAATTGGACGAACTAAATAATATCTAAGAGATACGTGATGTTTTTATTAGTGAACATGAATATAAATTAAAACTTTCCCATCGAATATTAAAAATCGCGTAGGTTCTACAAGCTTTTGTATGTATTTTTAAGGCCTGCAATCGAAAACCATAACAATTTCTTAATTGTTGTTTTTATGATCTTGATTAGAACGAAAATCCTAATAAGGCAGTGTTGACATCATGATCCGTAAATGGTCTTACCGTTAAATACTCAAAATGTTTTTCAGAAATGACCTCCGCTCACTCGTACTGTTTTTAAGCACACGTCGTGGGTTTAAGATAGTCTTTCTAATGTATTTTAAGAATATTTATTTGATTTTAAAAGTAAAATATTACATAACGTTGAATTATTTTATCCAAATCGTATAAGACATGCACATACTACTAAAACATCTGTCGCATTTTATTTGATATTGTACTTTATGTAAATGATGGTATAATTTTTTTTTTTTTTTTTTTTAAGGGGGGAAAATCATCGAATGACTGCCCCCGCCTGGGTGAGGCGGGAGGGAGTGTCAGACTCTTACTGACTAAAAACCACCCCGTTCCTTCTCCTGCACGTCGAGCCGGAGCCCCGGTTACCCGTTAGGTTCTCCGCGACTCCGAATCGGCATCGGCCCTATTGGGCCCCATCTGTGGTGGTCTGATGGCTCTTTGAGGCGCGCGCGGAACGCGACGCGCCGTACGCTCGGGTCTGTTTCTGGTCGGACGGGGAGCCACCCATGCTCGCCGTCCGCAGGCCCGCGCTTACGGTGGCCGGAGATCGTCCCGCGATCCCCGACGCCCGGTGTGTCCTTCGCGATGGCTGGGTTGCGAGGAGGCAGCGCTTCGCTGCCTCACGCGTCCCGCCTCCTCCTTAGCTAGCATGACTGCTTCGCAAAAGGAGGAGACGGCATCCCAGTCCCCCTCGCTCCGCATCATGGCCTGCACTAGGCCCGGACGCGAGAGGAAATGATGGTATAATAAGATTTAACAAAAGAGTAAATGTGAAACAAGTTTCTTTATTTGAAATTCGTCTCTATTATCCATGTGTATAAGGATGAAATCGAGTACAGACTGTGCAGTGATGTGATAAAATCCAGTGAAAAAGTGGACATCGTGGGTGATTGCGAAGCATCGTGCGCACAAATCGTACGGCATGGTACGGTTGCCTGCGTAATGTTGGAATATTGCCAACTTTTATTTATTTATTCCGCTCCAGTTTATTTATTTACAACGATTAATAAGCGAAATTGTTACTGCTTTTTGTTTTAAATCTAGTCATCAAAGGAAAAGTTGTGACAACTGAACTTGGGTAGCGTTGTTTTCCAATGTTGTGTAAACTTTTGTTTGTTGTGGTTGAAGAGTTGACAGGTCGTTGTGACAGTTTTATAAAAGTGTATTTACCGATACTGTTGCTGAATCTGCCGGCATTCCTTAGGTACGAGAACAGCTCTCCTCCACACACGTAGTCGAAAAGCATGTAGATGCAGGAGTCATCGTGTGTCCACCACCGCCTGCAAGGAGAGTGCTATCAACATCATACGAAAACAAGGTGAAGCTCAAGGAGGCTGGCACTCCACGGCTACGACATCTCGCATTAGTATCTACCAAACTAATTACTGTTACAGATGCCCACGAGATACATATCTAGATAGAGATATTCCACACAACTTGGTATGCTGCGAACATTTTAATTTCCTACTCTAATTAACATTCTACGTTCGGCACGAGTATACACACTTCACTACTTTGTTTATTTCAACCATTTCCCGTTTTTCATTCGTCCTTGTCCACAACTAGTGCACTGCATAATAAGTCCATTACCGTACTATATTGTTTTTCTCCTATTAAATGTAAACAATAACGTCACTGTAGTACAAATATAGTAACACGTTGGACATAGATACATCGTTTACGTAAATACGAGATTGATATACTGATCAGTGACATGGTGATAGTTGCCAGATCGTCATCAATAGGGCACGCGCACTGATATTTGTCGCCTCTCAAAACATGCAATCATCTGGCGCGTACCCTTCCCCCAGCAAAATAGATCAAATAAAAATAAATTACAAAAAGTAATCGATACACTTGTAACTGGCACATTTTAACAGGTTATTGGGTTAAACGAGTCCAACACGGAAAGAGCTGAACAAAAAAGTTATTTGGGGCAATCTCTATCTAAATCTTTGCCTTCACTAAACAAAATAATAGCAAGCAATGAATTAACTTCACTACAAACTCGTACAATGGCTACACCTACAAATGACACAGCAGAATAGCTATTTAAGGTTTGTTTCCTATCGCCAGGCTATTCGCTGGAAGGCGGAACGTCGGGAATGAAAACAGGAGTAAGTAATGACATTGGCTCAATGCCGACATTTGGCGCTCACATAATTGACGTGCGTCACATGCACCCATGCACGTTTAATTAAACGCCCAAGTATGTTCTAATGGTAAACACAGTTGTTATGATCCCACTGAAATATACCTTTACCCCTTAGATGTCGCGTCTGTCCAGACGGCTTGGATGAACACCAACAATATTAATTACATCAGGAATGAATGACGGGGACATGAACATTTTCACATTGGAATTAATGTACTTACAGATTCACTATGAAGGGGTGGTTGATTTCGGCGAGAATGTTCTTTTCGTTCATGACGTGATCTACTTGCTTCAGGCGGATTACGTCGGCCATAGATAATATCTTCATCGCCAGATATTCATCGGCGGCTTTGTCACGACACAGGCACACGCGACCGAACGTGCCGGTACCTAGAACAAAGAAACAACAACGTTATACACCTCGTGCTAATGAAAAATCATCTTGTTTTGTAAACTGTATCGTTTGTAAACAAATCCTCAAAAAGGTTTTGGACTGCATCAATTCGTACTTATAATAACCAGCTATCCAGAGATTTAAAATAATCCACATAAAGTCCAATAACATATACCTATGCAAGTACATATCATGTTTACCAGAATGCTGCTTATCATTATAATGTTACATTGGGAAATACAATCTCGAACAGCCGGAATTGTTTTGATGAAAACAATTCTGAGTACAGCGATATAAATAAATGAATCACTATCGGAGATTCCCGAGTTCCTCAGTAGTAAAGAGGCACAATACAAGTGGAGATAAGAACAAGCATGATCTGATTCCTAATGCATTCTTAGTAGTGTATAAACAAATTGAAAAATAAATGACTACTTGTATACAAAATTCACTCATCGAATATGTATCAGCATATTTTTGCCTATCTTTCGATATCCAGTTAGTCATCCACTTCGTACATGATTGCAGTACATGGTATATTTTCGATGGTCCTTGAATGCTTAATACACTAACATTGCGTTATAACCTTGTTGTTATTACTCAAAAGGTTCGTTAGTAAATAAAAATTTAAATAAAAATGAATTTCGGTGGTAGTTAGGCAAAGCAGTATTAGACATCAGAATCGTATTCAATGGCGATCCAAAGTTTATGCATAAGTATCAAAGACATAACTTTTAAGTAAGAAGGAGTTTACTAAATAGACTTTGAGTCTACGTTTAACAAAGAGCTAGAGGCTAGGCAAGTTACTAGTTAGTTCGATAATTATATATTTCCATTAGATACGTGCTCGACGGAACAGGTGAACCACTAATTGACCCTAGTAGTGTGTATAATAATTGAGTTAATCAACACACGTAAGGCCTCTATTAGCGCTGCATTTTAGAACACAACTGATGCCTTTATTTGCATCTTACAAACATGGCCATTAGAATTTACGTAGAAAAAAGTATCCAGACGTATTTATTTTAAGCCAAGAACCTGATTTAGGTATCAACCAGATTTTAAAAGTAAAACCCTCAAAAGCAGGAACACACAGCACTTACATAATGCAAAACCATGACAGTGACAGCTCGACAAGATCCCGCGCTTTTGCGTCATAGACAAAATAAGAAAAAAAAAGAATTTTGAAATGTATCTTGCCATTGCCAATAATGTCAATGGCAGAGCATAATGGTCTTACCTTATTTCACTGATACTTTGTTACATGTAAATACATATTTACCTTACATAACCTACGGCTGTCTAACCGGCTTACACCTCACACGAATAACACGTGTACGGTTTCATATTTCTAAGAATGCCAATGTAATGTTTACTTTCATTATTTCGTACATTCTTTCAAGGACTAGTATGTGGAATCGTGTATCAAGGTACATGGTATTTCAAGGTTTTCTTTAACACGGTGAATAATATGGATTAAAGAAAATAAGCTACAACATTCTGACTCATTCTGTTTAGAGTGAACACATAATTATGTGGTGACTCCTAGTTACCACATAATTGTTAGGTACTAGTAAATAATAATATTATTATGTTTATATTGTACAGTTCTGTTTTTCGTTCGCTTCTCGGATTGTTGAAACTTTCCCGAGTATAACGTGGAAACTGCATTACAATAAACATGTTTATTTGACTATTGTATTAGCAAACCGTCATAACAAACGTATTGATAGCAGTTGCAAATAACAGTCATCGCCTTAGAAATATTCTTTAGTAATGTTAAAGCAAGCAACAACAAACAATTAACCACATCTTAATAAGAAACATAATATTATAATTGTTATTATATTGCTTCCCCCTGAAAAAAATTGAGTATTTTATAAGAATTGTCGAAAGACTGCCTAATGAAAACCAAGTTAAAATTATAAAAGGCCACAGCAGCTTACTTACATCCTTTTAATAGAAATTTATAACGCTGATAATTACAATTGACTGAATTATAGACATGTATACTTCACTTGATGAGTAATTTAGCACAATACAGCTGTGAAATTCAATAATTAATTTAGTCAGTCTATGTAGTAGATACAGCTCTATAGGTACCTACGTAACTTATGCAAGACTTGATTTTCAATGAATACTTATTTAAACATTCATAAGCCGTTACGTTATGCATCATGTAATAGAATATAGAATTCAATATCAATGTCACCACCTGCAAGTTTTAGAACAAAAGGCTGTTGAACCTACGCGATACCTACCTACATACCTAAGAATTAGGTTCTTTGTTTTAGACCCAAATGGATTTAAATATACTATCAATATTTATTCTTTATTATCTACCCCCTATCTGGAATATCTACTTGATTTGACGTCACATCTTTCAACTGATAATTTAAGTGGGTTATGCAATACCACTTTCCACCACTTGTAAATCCCTTGTACTGCAAGGCTTCTAGATCTACTACGCGTAAAATGTGCCTACGTGTTGTAGAAGATCTTTTAAAATAACATTTCTAGTTGTTTACATCTAAACACTACGCGGTACTTTTAAAAAGCTTTTAAAATCGATTCAATTACAACGTTCACTCACAACTCAAATGAAATAAACAAAATCAAAAATATGAAATATGCACTCAATTCCAACTATACAACAAGCTTATTATTGGAATTTGATACATATTACAGGCGTATAAAGGGTGCGACATCGCTGACATTTTCCATTTCCATTCATTAGAGACTCGAATGAAATATCCTGTTCCAAGAGCTTGTGCGTAAAACATGAGTGAAGATGAAAATAGGATGGCCCAGTAAACGAGTTACGTGGGTACCCATCAGAAGAGCCTATTTGTGTCAGAAGGCCGCCCCAATATCTTAAATTGGGGGCTTTAATTTGCGTAACACTAGTTACTGGTGGCGTGACGTAGCATCTTTCAGTTTCCAGTATATTTTCTGCTGTCTCTTGCGCAAGCCTCAGGTTGGCCAACTTCTCGGAAAATAGAAACTGAGGCTATAAAATAATCGTCAGTGTGAAGGAAACACTGGTACATAAATAGGTACTACCTTCGATACATAACCTCATTATTTGAAAGCATTAGCTATAAATAAATATTGATATTATTGAGGTTGCTGGAACAACTTCGATGTAATCGAACTCTTATGTTTTTTGAGATGCATCTGTACTGTAACAATGAATCATCAATCTACCTACATCAGCGAGATTACAGTATTATCATTTTTATGTATCTACATATCTCTGTGTTTACATTTTATCGACATGTTTATCTAAACTTGAAATTCTATTATCGCGAATTGCACGACGAAGACTTTTGGAGTGAAAACAACATGTAGATACATATGTACATGTATTAATTGTATATATATAAGGTTATCGCACCATTGGGTTCAGTGAAAGGAAGATTCAGTTATCGAAATAAAATCATACGTTTCTTTTATAAATAAGTTATTTATCTCGAATGAAATGTAATCTTTAAGAAAGTCGGATTAGATTTCGCTTTAGTAATCTCATGATCTCAAAAAACCGAATTTTGGGTAAAATGATTAGATTATACAGCTTCTAAATGTTACTAACTATATTCAACTCGATTATGGGTCCCTAGTGTGACCCGAAACTAATCGAGTAACAGCATTTTTAAACAGAAACAATATAAATATTTTTAAATTATCATTTTTATTTGTATCGCTGTCCTGCGTATTATTTAAGAAAATTGTACTTTATTCGAATAGAATACTTTTATTGTTTTCCGTAAGTATATAATATAATAATGTTCATTATTTATTACATTTAAATGGTTTTTGTAACTGTAATTGAGCAACATTGCATGTGTCGTGGCCACACAACACAAGATACTGAATACAAAATATTATTAATTTATATTTCTATATATTATAAATAACTACTAGTTATATTGCCTATTAATGTAGCGGTTATATTGCTATATACCTAAATTAATATATATTGAAATGCGCCAATGTATGTACAAAGCAATATTCACAAAATTGTAAAATCTACTATCAATTTACAAGTGGTTTCTTAGTATTGACATTTACTTACGATCAATATAGTACTCGATCGATACATAATAAAATGTTACATTTAGATAATATTGTATTTCCGGACGTTTTGTCATCTGTCTATATGCAAAAGAAGAAAAAATCGTGTTAGTTAGGTACACTATAATAAGTCAAAAACCGATAAATCTACTTTACTAATTTGACTGATAATTAGTAGGGAGGTAGCTTAGAATCAGGAGACGAATATATGTAGAATACTTTTTATCTATGAATTGGTTTGCGCGTACGAAGTCCTAGACAGAAGCTGTATAAATAAAAATGCATATAAATCTCTCTATTTAAAAACGTCAATTCAAAAACAAATATGCATTCGACATTAATTTAAAACGTATTATTAAAAGCTAAATGATTTAAATATAAAAAGAAACATGTTTTATACAATTTACGTTCCGCGTAATTTAGAATATTGCTGATTCATTTTGGACGGCACTTTCACTAGAAGTTCGCTTAAATTTTGATTAATTCATGTCATAAATAAAATGGCGTCTCGACATGTCACCGTCAATCCGGATTCTACAATAGTTACGAGGTTGCAAGATGGCGATAGTTAAACGAAAAACAAAATACTAGCCCTAAGATTTCTGTTTATAAAGTGTAGAATTATGATGAGATTATTAGATTTTCGAAATTCTCAAAAGTAGCACGAGCCTTTGAATTATGCTCAGTGTACGGCGAAGGATCGTCACTGTTAGATGAATTTATAATGCAACTGGTGACAACTGGATTTTACAATTAGTACGTGTACCAATACGCTTTGAAGATAAGATGTGATGCTGATTGCTGTGTTATGTCATGCATTGTACATTTATGGCACAAACACGACGAATGAAAGCCATTGTTTTCCATACAATGCTTTCTTAAACGTGTTCAGTGTAAAATACTAGATTCTCAGATTTCAGAA